GACTTGTGGGATTCTTGATAGCAGTCTCATATGAAAGAGCCATTGTTAATCTCTTCCAAACTCCTATTGCAAATCCCTAATCTTCATTGGTTTACAGTACTATAGTGATTAACTCAAACACCCTTTCAATGCACACCATTGTGTTCCATGGGCTGACCAACACCAATGGAAGTAAGGTTTCCTGGTCTTTGGTGGTACATCTGATATGAAAAGGTATTTGGCATGTGTCCCAAGAGTCAAAGCAGTGCCAGTCCTCTAATCAGAGCATAAAAACTCATCATGAAAGCACTGCATTGGATGGTTTCACATTTCCACCAAATGACCCTATGTTAATGTCTTACTCCTTTAGCCCTCTACCCTCCAGTTATTTTTAAGACAAGTCTAACTTGGACTGACCTTTTGGATAAGTGCAGAAATAAAATCCTTCAGGCCAGACTTCTCCAGGTGGATGGAGTTCTTCATCTTTGAGGGGAATATTCACAAAGGTATTCTGCTGTGAATTCCAATATACAAGCCCAGTGCAGTAAGGAAATTGCTGACTCCAAGGTTGAGAAAGCGAGATTTCCATTTTCTTCTAAAGGAATGTCAATTACCTCTCTAGTGGGATATTCCACCACTGGGATGTATTCTGGAAACATATTTTATCCCGTTGAATGTAGATCTTGTTGGTGGAGCAAATAGAACTGAAAAGGCACAACAATGGGAACACTATTAGAATTGGTGACCACCTCCAGATTTTCGTGGACCACCTGGAATAGGTCCAAAATGGTTCCATGATGCAATTCATGCATAAAATAGGGCTTTACTTTGAATTAGATTATCTTCATGGTCCATGGCATTGATGTGGTGAATGTATAAAATATATTCCATGGAAAATAAAGTTGGGGATCGCCACATTGTGTGGAGGACAAACATTAAGGGCAATGGCCTACTCCCAATTGAATCACATTATGGCATGACTTTAAAAGTTGTCCAAGTCAAAGCGAAGCCCTATCTCAAGCACAAATTGCCTAATGGAACCCTTTAGAACTCATCTCAGTTGGGCCAGGAAAAATCTGGGCTCAAGACTTAAGCTAACATTTCATCTGCTTTTTGTGGGTTTCACTAAACCCACACTAACTACCCTCAGAGAATAAGCTATAAACAAAGACCAAGTGAGCCACACTCCTAAATTGGGCTGACAGTAAGTCAACTTATTTTGGAGAATCCATCTGTTGTGTCTGTTAGGGTTAGAAAATGATTGTGGCCTTCAGCTGTTACCCTTATCTAACTCAAACTACCTTGTCATTCCCCAAAATATGTAGATTTTCTAACTCTTTGAGCCTTGACATTGAACCAGTGGGAAAGTTAATGGGATCTAATAACCCCACCATTACAGCAACATGTCACATGCAAGTGAGGACAACTAGGCCAGAAGGGCATAGGAATACCCAATTCATACAACCTCTATACATACAACATGACTTGCAACTCGAGTTGGGTTGGTGCTCTTGACTGAGGATCGAATCTGGAAAACCCATTCAAGTACAGTGCACAGGTCTGGATTGGCTGATGCACAGGAATGCATGCTAGCAGCCACAGGGCTATTCCTTCACCTTGGGCACAATGTCATTTCCTGTGAACACTGTATATGACTCTCAACTTCCCTATGTGAACACTAATTTCCAACAAGGACTAAACAACCACTCCTACATTCAAAATGGAATGTGCTGCCCAATGTAACAGCGAGAAGAGTGAAAGGCCAGCAGACCTTCTCACCCATGCGTAGATGAGCCTACAAATGCCTTTTTCCTTCCAATCAGGGATAAGTAAGTTAAACCTCCGACATCTATGAACTTCACCAACTTTGTATACCCAACCTTCCATTCCTTTGATAGGATGCACTGGTTTCATTTGCCGAAAGCAATCCACACTCACTACAGACCTAACTTCGTTTCTCATCATTTAACTTTTGCAATTGTAAAAAAGGAAAATCTTCCACTGGCCCAGGAGGCAATCAGTCCAAGGACTGGAAGGAGTTTACAGGTTGATGTATTGATTACATTCTGCAGTGTCAGAGCAGGGATTTTTCATATTTCAGAGTTGCCAAAGATTGGGAACTTGTGATTCGGATAAAAGCCTTTCAATGGCTCACCAGCAGGATGACACTTCCGTCATTCAGCACCTGACAGCTGCCACACAGTCTCCCTATAGAAAAAGCCTGTAACAAGTGCCTCCTCACAAAGGGATAGAAATTCACAGATATGATTTTAAGGACAGAGGCGATTGCAGGCTCGTCTACGTGTGACTAGGCCTGCTGGACGCTCATCCTGCTGGTTGTTACATTGGCAGCACATTCCACATTGAGTGTGGTAGTCCTGCCGCTCATGATAACTCCCTCTCCCATCTGATTAGAACACCACTCACATCTAATGTGAAAGTCATAGGTTGTAGTACAGACATGTTCAACACCTGCAACTCATCCAATCATGAACTGAATTATGAACTGAAAAATTGCCCCAAACTGTGCATGGCACATAGCAGCACAGGCATGGGTTGGGCATACAACATGACCTTCTTCCTCTCCCTCCTGTTTCTTAAGAAACAGGTTTAAGACAAAAGACAAAGAAAGGCAGGGATCTAGCTTTTCTCAGGTCAAAGAAATGAAACTCCATTAACCCTTTGCACTCAGTTTTTCTCATAATGCTATGGGCATTATTGGACCACACCAAACAAACAAGTGCAAAAGGTTAAAGGCTCATGCTGCCTGATCTTTTCTGGGGCAAGGTGGACAACAAAAAAAATTTCCCTAATTTTCCTAAAAGATACACCATCAGGAAAATCAATACATCCACATTAAATGTTTGCCCAAAACACCATTTTTTCAGTAGATCGCCCTACAGTCTTTTGTTTAATTGATACTAAATACTGTGCTCAGAACCAGAAATGGCATACATGGAACCATAACACTTCAGACAGGAGTGAGTGACAGAACCATGCATATCTGTTGTGAAAAACCTTTATACCAGGCAGTTGAGATTTATAAAGGAATTAACATGTACTTTGCTCTTCAAATACACAACTGCATATAGATCACACCTGACATGATTACCTTCTTGAGTATGATTCTTCTTGCACACAAGGCTGGAAAACCTGTCTTTTTCATTTATGAAATGCAAAATAAAAGTCATTTTTTTAAATGACTTTTTTTAAATGAAGATTTTTCTAAATCAGGAATGCCAAGGGTATCACCACTTCTCAACGTTCGATCGAACGACGATCTGGCACTAGACGTTAAGGTACAGGATAACTTGGGATATTCGTAAGACTTACAGGCCTGTAATTTCCTGGATTACTCTTTTCGCCCTTCTTAAAGATCGGTACGACGTTTGCTAGTCTCCAGTCCTTAGGTACTTCCCCGCGCGAAAAGCTGCTTTCGAATATAATTCTTAGCGGAACCGATATTTCTCTCGCGGTTTCCTTAATGACTCTCTTGGGAATCCCATCGGGGCCGGTCGCCTTGCCCACCTTTAACTTCCCTATCGTATTCACGATCGTCTCCTCGGTGATGGAAATATC